GCTCGGCTACGTGTGTGGCGAAGAGAGAGAAGGCGGAGTAAGAAATGGTTAGGGTTTCGGGAGGCGAAGCCGCGTGGGGTCAAGGGCAATGGCGCAAGGCCTCTCGACGATGGCGCGCTCCGCCTTGGGCGAGCGCACTCACCGGCGAGGGGCCCTGTGGTGGCGCCACCATCTCTGACTGCTGAGGTTCTAGAGAGAGAAGGGAGAGAGAGCCGGTCGTCGTAGCCAAGAGAGAGAAGAGAGCGAACTCAAATGAGTTAGGGTTACGGTTCATGGCCATCACGTGTAGTTTTGATCTCGCGAGGCGCGGACGACCGTCGGATCGGATCAAACGACTGACGGCGGATGGGCCAGATTTGGCCCAGGAGGGGCAGCGGATTCCTGTTCTAGGCCTAGGCCCAGGTTGTGGCCTAGACACGGGGGAGCGGGCACGTGCGCCGGGTGAAGCAGACCGCTGGGCAGCGCTTTCACACGCTGGGCCACGAGTGAGCACGCGCTGGCGAGATGGGCCGCGGGCCAAATTTTCTCGGTTGGGCCAAAATGAACAGAGTAAATAGTTTTTAGTTTTATTATTTTTCAGAAGCAGTTTTGATGAATTTTGTCAAGTTTTGATGTTAAATCTCTGTCAAAATTTGAACCAACGGGATAATTTTTCAGAAAGTAGATGAGTATAGTGAAATGCTTCTAAAAAGTAGATAAATTATATTTTTCATGTTTCTGCTGCAAAGTTTAATGTTGATTATCTTTCAATTAAATTCGAACCAACGGGAGAATTTAATTCGAAGAGCAGTTATATTTAGTAAATTATGATTATATTTATCCTCTAATTAATTTGGAGCCAACGGAAAAATTTAAATTAGAGGAGTAGTCCGATTTATTTATGTTAGATTATGGTATTATTGTTTTCTGACCAATGTTAATGATAACAATATTATAATAAATTTAAGTTTAAAGTTTAAATCTCTGATAAATTTTACACCAACGTAGTCAATTTTTCAGAGAGTAGATAAGGACCAAGAAATGCTCCTAAACTAAAAGAATATATTTTATTATTAAGTTTTCGCTGCAATGATATTGATTATTTTCTAATTAAATTTGAACCAACGGGAGAATTTAATTTTGAAGAGTAGTTATATATATTTCAAGTTGATTTATGAGTTTTATGCATTAATTCTATTTTCTGCCCAACGGTGATGTAGAATTGATGCAGAAGCACCTTGTTTATTTAATCGATGAAATCACTCGGCTTTATGCCAACGGGCTGCAATGCTGGGCTATGTGAATGAAAAGGCTTGAGTGAAGCCAGTCTAGGACTATTTTTTGTTAGTTTATTAATTTTCTGATTAAATTGAAACCAACGGGAAGATTTAATTTAAAAATGAAGTATAAGTGAATGTTTTTATGATAAGAGTTACAATAAGTAACATGCATCTGTAATTTGATCAACGTTGGATTAAGCATGCGTGTTTGTATATTGATTTATCCCGCATGAGAGAAGTTTAGCATAGTACTTATGCTAGTCCATCCTACATGGCAGGAGAAGTTTTGTGATGACTCATATGTTTTTGTATCCCGCATAGCGAGAGAAGTTTGGGTAGCTCTTATGTTGCTCTAGTATTGACCGTGGCACAATAGAAATGCATTGCCATGGTCAATACTAACCAAAAGATAAGAAAAGATGCAAGCGTGACTTGCAAAAGTACTATTAATGAAAGACCTCGTTGAGTTCTTGAAGTGAAATAAGGAAAGTGTACTCCTAAACGGATCAAGAAATAACTTTGTTTACATGACATAATCATGTGAATGAAGTAAGTTATAAGTGTCTCCTCGTTCATAGATTTTCTGAATAGTTCTCGAAATTATGGCAATAAAGTTCATGTCATATTTCGAGAAGAAGAATATTAAGATCAATTAAGAAAAATACTCTTCATTAAGAGTGAAATAAAGATCAATTAAAAAAGATACTCTTCATTAAGAGTGAGATAAAGATTAATTAAGATGAATGCGATCGTTGGAGGAGTACAACGATTACAACAACGATACCCCTAAGCAAAGAAATAGTTAAATTCCTAGACCTTTTAAAGTTCTGACAGGAAGATAGTGTAGTCAGCCTCAAAGATGTTGAGGTGGTGCTTAAAGCACCATATGAGGTTTTAACAGATTAAACCCAAAATAAGATATTTGAAGATACACAATCTTTATAAAAGATGAAAAGATCTGGGAGAGCATGGTATGTAGAGGTATGTAGAGACCTAAGACTTGAAGAGAAGAGGGACTGCGTGCCCACTCCAGTGACTCAGGAACAACAAGTTTCTCAATACCTGTTGATGTTGTATAACATATACAACACCTGTTGTTGGCTCTTCGAAGAAGATGAATAATGCAACCAAGGATCTTGTAATACAGGAGCCTGTAGGATCAATTGCCTCTTGGCAAAAAAGAGTAACAATAGCCCCATATGAAAGTGCCAGTAGCTGAGGCCCCATAAGAAGATGAATAAGAAGATGAATAATGCAAACAAGGATCTTGTAATACAGGAGTCTGTAGGATCAATTGCCTCTTGGCAAAGAAGAGCAACAATAGCCCCATATGAAAGAAGAGCAACAACAACCCCATAAGAATTAGTAAACCAGTTTTTCTGATGACTATGAAGTCTATGTTAGTGAAAAAATTCAAATGGAGGGTGATCCCACCTCATTTGAAGAAGCCACGAGAAGCGTTTACTCGTTTAAATGGCAAGAAGCTATGGAAGTTGAAATGAATTCAATGAATACCAACGATATTTGGAACTTAGAAAAAATTCCTAATGGAGCAAAAACAGTAGGCTGTAAATAGGTCTACAAGACAAAATGTGACTCCAAAGGGAATGTAGAAAGATATAAAACACGGCTTGTAGCAAAATGCTTTACGCAAAGAGAATGAATAGATTACAATAAGAGTTTTCCCTCCAGTCTCATGCAAGGATTCTTTTAGAATCAAAATGGTGTTATTGGTACATTATGATTTAGAGTTACATCAGATGGATGTAAAGACGACATTCCTCAACGGGGATTTGTATAAAAATGTTTACATGGCACAACCCAAAGGTTTTATCATTGAAGCAAAAGAACGTATGGGATGCCGCCTACAGAAATCCATTTATGGGTTAAAACAAACCTCTAGACAGTAGTATTTGAAGTTGATGAAACAATAAGAAAGTTTGGGTTTAAAGAGAATGAGAAGGACAATAGCTTTTATGTAAAGTTTAAGAATGGAAAATTCATTTTCCACATTCTGTGTATAGATGACATCCTACTCACTAGTAGTGATGTTAATCTACCATTGAAGAAGTTCTTGTCCTCAAGTTTCAATTTGAATGATCTTGGTGAAGCGTCATTGGTTCTAGGAATCGAAATTCACCGAGATAGAAGAAAAATGGGGTATTAGGACCATCGCAAAGGCATACTTAGAAAAGATTCTAAAGAAATAAAGTATGCATGCGAGTAAACCTATGCCTGCTCCTATAGTCAAGGGTAATAGTTTTGGAAACTATTAAGTGTTCCAGGAACCAATATGAGATCGATCAAATGAACATGGTTCCATATGCTTCAGCTGTTGGAAGCTTGATGAGTGTACAAGTACAAATAAGGACTTACCCTGACGTAGTTTACGTATACGGGATATTTTGGCAGAAGTCCAGTCCAGATATAGATCATTAGAATGGAGTTGAGGATGCCTTGCAATTTTGAAAAGTATCATATGCCTCATGTTGAGTAACAAAGAACAAGTACTCTCAAATAGTTGAGGATACAAATATTAAGTCTTTACGAGATGTGTAGTGAAATCCACAGTAGTTGCTAACACTCACAGTTGAAGTATTATTGTGGAAAAGCTACAAAGAAACAGTTATGGTGTCATCAGTGATGCATACCATAGTATAGCTTGACATGAGGCTTAAGCAACAGGTAAAAGGAGGTTAAAGGAATTTGCACCCGGATTTAACAATGGTAGACAACGGCAATAACCATTTAAAGTAAGCTAACTCCTAAGACAACAGGTAAGTGTGCTGCCAAACACATTGATACTAAGTTATATGTTGTAAAGGAGAAAATACAGAATTATTTTAAAAGCATTGAGCATATAAGTACCAAGCAAGTACTTGCGGATCCGCTTACCAAAGGCTAACCACCCAATGCGTTCAGAGAACACATAGTCGACATGGGTTTACGGGAAAGCCTATGATTTCTGGATACTAAGTGCCTAGTTAAGAATCTGTTTCAAAACAGAGAGGTACATTATAGCTGTTTAATCTAATGACAATTGACCGTGATGATGGGACACGCTCTATGCACTGATCTGTGATGGAATGGGAAAAAGATAAAGTAAGTTAAGTTTAAATTATAAGGTTTGATCAATGGGAAGAATGTTAGGTTGATCTCCACCAAGTTGGCCCAACGACCAATTGAGCCCTTGATCCACACCCTGATCGGGGGCGCCCAGCCGTTCTTCTGGCTGATGGCCCCCCGTCGCGTAGCGCAATAAATAGGAGGTGGGGACTAGGGCTCGAGGCACGAGGTTCACCGCAGCCGCCAGCCCCACCGTGATTCCTAGCCCTAGTCCGATCTAGAAGGGCGTGCTGTGAGCGACGGAAAGTACCATCGCCTTCGCCGCCGCCACCAGACCGGGTCTGCACTACTGCTATTTCGTCACCGGCGCCATGGGTGCGACTGGAGACTCGAGGCGAGGTATATATCAGCAAGTCCCCTCATCTAAGCTAAGTATTACCCACTGATCTATGCCTAGAAGTACTTTCAGTTCTGTCAGAGGCAGCTAGGGGAAAGCAGATCTAGCGGGGTCCCGGGCAGACTCTTCCTCCTCGACCTCGTCTGCCCAGGAGCGGCGGGAGCAGGAGCCAGGCTCCATGGTGATGTGGTTGGCGGCGGCGTGGCTGGCGGCGATTGCTGGGGTGGACGCCGGGGCCGGAGTGGCCACCGGCGGGTGGGAGGTGGGAGCCTAGGCGCTCAGCTCAGCTCTCCCCGCAACGCAGGAAGTCCCTTGTCTTGCTTCCATAGCAATAAAAACTGTTCCACTAGACTGTCACCTGCCGCTGACACATAAATATGCGGTTTCTTCCTTGTTAAAAGCTCCACAAGTATGACACCAAAGCTGTACACATCGCTCTTCTCAGTGAGCTGTCTCGTTTTGTAGCACTCTGGATCCATATATACGAAAGTTCCCTGAATGGCAGTGGTTATTCTAGTCTCATCAATCGGGATGCCTCGAGAAGCTCCAAAATCTGACACCTTCGTTGTTAGATTATCATCAAGCAGAATGTTGGATGCCTTGATATCTCTATGAATTATTGATAACGAAGCAGCAGAGTGCAGATAGGCAAGAGATCTCGCAACTTCAATGGCAATTCTCACTCGTTCTCTCCACGGTAATGATTGTGAAGAATTGACATGAAGATGCTCATAAAGCGTTCCATTTGAGATGAACTCATAGACTAACAATGGAACTTCTGTCTCCGGACAGCATCGAAAGAGCTTTACCACATTCCTGTGGTTTACTTGAGAAAGAATGGCGACCTCATTTATGAAATTGTCAGTTTCACTCTGGATTGCTTGTCTTGACTTCTTAATGGCAACAACACATTGGTCAGACAAAATGCCTTTATATACCGTACCATGGCCTCCTTTGCCGATCTTCCGATCCTCATCGAATGTATCTGTTGCCTTTTCAAGGTCTTTCAAGCTGAAGATAATTCTTTCACCAATGTCCTTGTCTACTAATTGTTGCAACAACAATCCACGGTTTTTCCTGAAGAAAAAAGTTCTCAAATGCTTTGCTTTTCGGGCTCTTATCTTTCGCCTCAAGAGAATTGCAGAGAAAATAAGAAGCACAAGGCCTCCACAACTGAGAACTCCTGCAGCAACAGCTAATCCTGGAAAATATATGGATTTTCATATATACTTTGAGCAATGTTTCGATCAAAAGGTGACATTACAACAGTTGAAGCTACAGTTATTGGAAGATCTTGTTACCTGAAAAATTTTCTGTGTCTTGGATGCATCCATGTGGTTTCTGGGGGTTGCCAGAGGTGCTAATTGGACAAACGCAATCATAAGATCCTTCCGTGTTAATACACTGACCAAAGCATTGGTATATATCTGGGTGTGCGCACTCATCAATATCTGTTGCAATACAAACCACAGATGTGAAGCACACTGCGGTGACAAGAGTTGGAATGGTGAAATTTGAACCCTTCTTTTTTGGTGACAAATGAAACTAGAACTTAACCTGCAAATGACAAGTTGCATACCTTGGCATCCATTTACTATGTAAGGGTTGCCCTCATATCCATAGTTGCAACGGCAAAAGGACCCATATGATTCGCCAGTCCAGTGATCATGGCAGTAACTATTGTAGCTGCGGCAACCATAATCACTTGAACTCTGAGCATCTGAACAAGACAGGTTGCTGAAACTCCACTTGACAGCAGTCTTTATCTGCATTGACTGGGCGGAGCCATCTAAGACCGCCTTCTGTAACAACACAGAGTGGTCGTTCTTGTCCCACCATTGTTTCTCCACTAAGACCACAGTAGCATTGAATGGTTGCTCTTCCATGATCATGTGGTTTCTTGCTTGGAAAGAGGCAAGCTCGATGGAATATAAACTGCCTGCTCCTGGCATGGATGCCTCACAGCAGCCAACCCCAGAGCACGAACCATCAGTGGCTACTGCAGGATGCTCACTGAGGCACGACGAAGAACACCTAACAACTGTACTTTCTGCATCCGGCAACCCACACCCCATGACGACGAAGTTGTTCCACACCGAGGACACCGTGAAGATGGTGTTGTGAAGAGGGATCTCCCATGACATGCTGTACCTATTGCTCCCTGTCACACTGACGACACCATTATTAATGTACAGCTTCCCATCATGCAGAGATATGTCGAGCACCTCAGCTGTGGTATTTGCCCACAAAGAGCTTAGGGACGTTGTAGGTCTCGTTGCAGGTGAGCTGAAACCCCTCACGGTAGCAACCAGTGCCAATACCGAACGGGTAAGGTACACTGACCTCGCCGCACTTGCTAATGCAACCAGGCAATGCTATGTTGGTGGCTGCGTGGAGCACTGGTGTGACAGCCATGAGCTGTAGCAGGTGCAGCACTGCTATGGCTACCACACGCATCATATGATTTTGAGGAGTGAAGCAGAGAGCCATGGTTCAACTTGTAAAACTGGAGACGTCTCCTAAATATGAAGGGTGTGATCGTGCAATTCTGTGGATGCAGTAAAATAAGGTAATTCTTGACTTGGTAGAAGGGGCGAAGAATCTAGTCAAATGGTGTGTGCACAGATTTTCAACCTTGTTCTGCCATTGCTAAATGCACATACACGACTGGTAAGATACGACCGTATGACTATGTCAGAGAAGTCACCTTCGGACTGAAAATTGATGAAAATGTAAGGCGGCAAGTTTGAAGAGCAAATAAGAACAGTGGTGGTCTCATGGTCACTCTCACGCCCTCCTTCCAGTATTTTGACATTTATATAGCTCCATCTTAAGTCGACCACCTCGGAATACCCTGTCAAAGTCTCAAAGACAAGCTCAGATTCCTCGGAGGCATAACGACAAACAGGTGAGAGGCCGGCGGCGTCAAAGATTCAGAAGAGTGCCCAAGGTCAGCAGCGCGATACAGTGCAGCGAACAAATTACTGAACTGAACTCCTGAGGTGCGGCAGTCGGCAGACCACTCGGTGGTGGATCCGGCACGCACGCCTTGTCCTGGACATCGCCGGGGCCTCGCCGCCGGCAGCAAGCATGTCAGGACTGGATGCCTATCAAAGGAGAGACCGGCCTGCGAAACATGGACAGAAAACCCGACGACGTCGCGGGCTCGGCGCACCCAGGCCATTTCAAGGGATAGCTCAGGGCCCCGAGCTGGGAATGGCATGGCCGCCTGGCACCCGCGACGGCCTCTGACACGACACGAGTAAACTCGTCTGCGCCGCCTTGTGTTAGGAGAGACGGAAGAAGATGGGCTGCGCTGCCAATATTTCAGGACCCTGTCAAACTATATAAACAAGTCTATTTTCACCTCCTCAAAAATTTTTAAGTTTGATTTACATTTTTCGATAGGCAATGCCCTCTAATTTACTTCCCTATCAGGGATGAAGAAGGTAAATCAGACTTTCGTGACGGTTCATGAAAGCCAACTGTACTTTAAAAATTATGTAAATATTTTTCTTCAAATTATCTAAATATTCTTTTTGAATAAATATACATTCGAAAATACTAAAATCTAATTAGTATTAAAAAAATCCATAGAAAATTGGTTTGAACTCATAAAAATATGAATCTAGATTCATATTTTTATAAAGTCATGCTCTAATCTTTTTGTTCCTTGCTTAGAACTATTTGAATTTTATAGTCTCCAGAAATTTAAAACTGGGCTAAAATATGAAACAGAGGATGCAAATCAATACCAATCCTTTTAGACCATGGCATGAATCACCGTGCGACCCATTGTGGAAATTGCAAACAAGTTTCCTCGGAGCAATATCTTGCTTAACCATTAAAACATGCATAGGAAATTCCAAATAAAAATATAATTCAAACTCTGATTGTGTATTAATAACATGTATAATGTGGTTTAACCTTGTAGCAGCATAGTCTTAGGTGGTGTTTGGTTGCCCCTTCTAAATTTTAGTCGCTGTCCCATCAAATGTTTGACATATGCATGGAGTATTAAATATAGACTAATTACGAAACTAATTGCATAGTTTGCGACTAATTTGCAAGACGAATCTTTTAAGTCTAATTAGTCCAGATTTGACAATGTGGTGCTACAGTAAACATGTGCTAATGACGGATTAATTAGGCTTAAAAATTCGTCTTATGGAGTACTGACGGATTATGTAATTTGTTTTTTTATTAGTATTCGAACACCCCATGCAATATTCTTCCGACACACCTCCTAAATTTTAGTTACTGGATCCAAACACCACCTTATTCAGGGGATGTGAGACATCATTATGATGAAGTGTGCAGACTTATTGGACCATCAGCGGAAATCGACGTGTGATCTCTTAGACTCTCGAACCATGGTCTACGACTTGGGCAACAACATGCAAATGGACGTGAACACTTCGTTGTTCATCGTTGTTGTCATAGGTCTATGCACACATTGGGAGTACATGATCGAGCATGAAGGTAGTTTGGATGGGTTCAAGAGACCGGACTTCATGTGTTTCAAAAAATCATGCTCTATATGTTGCATAGCTCAAAGAAAACATAGAGCATTATTTTAGAAAAAAAATATATAATTGGTTTCATTTTTTACTAAGTTAAAACAGAAAATTTTCTATGGAATTTCTAATACTAAATTAGATTTTAGTATTTTTAAATACATATTTATTCCATAAAAATGTTTGATAATTTTTTGAAAAATATTTCTATAATTTTTTAATGAAGTCTAATTGACCATTTGAACTATCATGAAAGTTCAATTTACATCCCTTGTTGACAATGTGGCGTTATGTAAACACTTTCAAAGCCGCTTAAAGAGGTAAATTGGATGGTTTTAAGAGTTGAGGAGTCTAACAATCTGATTGGGAGGAAATCGGACTATACAATAGTTGAGGGAGGAAATCCGACTATACAATAGTTGAGGGAGGTCAAATTAGACTTTTTTACCAAGAAACTGCCCTTAGTATCTACAAGAGTTCTCCTATTCATCCCATATAACCAAAATTAACGTTTATATATATATAACAAAAATCATCCTTCAACAGTTCCCCTGTTCGACGTCCTAAGTCCCCTTTTTGAACGTCCTATATTCAACATCTACAGGAGAGATTTTTTTTAATTTTAACACTTTTTTAAAACTAATTTTAAATCTAACACCTCCGATTTTTTTTAAACTAACACTTTTGGCCGCGCCTATTTCCCTGGCGCGGCCAAATGCTTGTGCCGCGCCATGTATGGTGGCGCGGCACAGGGCTGATGTGGCGGCGACAAGGAACGCTGACCGCTGACGGGGCAGGGACTGCCGCACCAGCGATCTTGGCGCGACAGTGCCGCGCCAGGGGTCATGGCGCGTCTGGGCCAAATAAAACCCCGTGGCCGAGCCTCCGGCCGCACGCACCCCTGCCCGCCCGCGCCGCCAGCCAGCCGACGCACCCCGCCGCCGGCCATCGCCCGCCCCAGCGCCCGCGCCCGCCCGCGACCTCGCTAGCCGCGCCTGGCCACTCCCGCCCGCCTTGCCCGCCCGCGCCCTCGCAGCACCCGCGCCACGAACCCCGACGCGTCAAGGCCGCCCGCTCCTAAGGTACCTTCCTCTCGGTTTAATGTTATTATGATTATTATTGTTTTAGGATAATTAGTTTGTGATATACGTATTGTCGATGCAGGACCCACGGGATGCCCTACAAGGAAGAGAGAAGATCTAGTCTAACTAGGTCTCTTTTCATGTAATCTTAGTAGTAGTATTATTCTGTAATTCTACTAGGAACTCTCGTTGTAAACCGACTAGGACGCTGACCTCCTGACTATATAAAGGAGGGCAGGGATCCTGGAAAGGTGACTAGAACTTTACACTACACAACAACACAACAACACTTCACAATCAATCCAACGCAAGGCTAACGCCGACTGGACGTAGGGCTATTACTCGATCAACGATCGAGGGCCTGAATCAGGATAAATCGACTGTCTCTTGCGTTCACCGTCGAGTTCTGCATACGCCGAAGCTCAAACAAAACTGCCCCGGGGACCCCGTGGTAGGCTGTCGGTGGTAAAACATCGATAGCTGGCGCGTCAGGTAGGGGCTTTCGGCGAATTTGCATCCGAGAGCTCGATGGACCTCGACAACATGATCTTCTCGACAGGATCAACCCTCATCTTCGGCTTGTGGATCTATGAGGCAGGCGACGATGGCAAGCTCCAAAGCCGTCTCCTCGAAGATTTGGTTCACCAGGAAGAATTTTCTATTTTGGCAACGAAGACAAATCAAATCACCGGAAGATTCGCGCGGCTCGTGATGTCCGATTCAACTTAGGTTTCGCGGCTTTGCGCATCCAACTCGAACTCAAGCTCCGCATCCGAGATGGAGTTTGACCCGAGTTCTTTCAAGAATCCGAGTTCTTTTCCGATGGGGCTCCAGAATGCGGCCTTGGCGTATCAAGAATACAACTCGGAGAACACTCAGAGTCTTTTCAAGAAGTCAGATCCTTTTTCGTTTGGACTCGACAAAATGGCAAAGTCTTATCAGGCACGACTGGAAGGATCCCTCGATCCGGTGCTTAGAATGCCACTAAAATGAGCCCAGGAAGGTCTCGTGCTAACTATAACATCTCAAGACTGCATCGTCCACTGGCTAGGTTCTATTCCTGAGGATAGCGACACCCGACTAGTCGGCACGACGACAACTGCAATTCTACCCTACCAAGAAGAAGACTCGATCTACGACCTTGAAGCCTCTACTAAAGTTATCAACAACTCCGACAGTGTCGAAACCAACGCCGATAACAGAACAGTTCACGCACGGGAAGTACTCATGGTTCGCCGTCCTCAATCAATATTGATCCCCCCAGAAGCACCCGACGTCATATCATCGGATGAATCAGAATCCAACATATCACCCTTTGTCCAGGGCTACGATGGTGAGACCGAGAATCAGAGGCAAGCTAGAGAAAGAAAAAACAAATTGAAACAAGGACGCCAACACCGTGCTAGGCAGCGCAAGGAAGCTTGGATCAGATATGAGTTAGATCTGGTCGAATACAACAGAAGAAAATCAGAACAAGAAGTCGAAGAAAGACGTGCAGCGAACACACCCTACAATAGGATCCGAGAAGCACTAGAAGAACTTGGAACGACATCACATCCTAGTGAATAGCAAGAACAGCTCAGGGAACTTCTCCGGACAGTAGCCCTAAAGACACACGATGGAAGAACCCGTTCAAGACTACCTGCCAGGTTAGCATCTCATAGGAAGGAAGATCAAAATCAAAGGAAGTCCGCGTTCGAGAGACTTGGACCAAGTGGAAGTCACAATAGAGAAAGTAGAAGGGACCACAGTTAAAACTACCGAGTCGAACAACCAAGACAGATCAGAAGTGAAGTACCCATTCAGACAACTCCGCAGAACTACTCCCACCAAAACGATAGTTGGCTAGAAGGAGGTGCTGAATCAGAGTACAGAGAAGCTGGGACGCACG